GTGAGATGCACACTGCTGTGCATCTGGCCAGTCATCTGAATGGAGAGCTGGAAGCCATACTACCAGCACAGCCGATCTGTAATGTGTTTCTGGATCTCTTAGGATTTTGAATACAACGCTATTCGAAAGCTGGGAACTGATTGGGCCTTATCCTTCCTGGTGGCTGTTCAATGGCCTTTTGGTAACCCTGCAGATCCTGCATGTCATCTGGTCCTATCTCATCGTTCGCACTGCCTACAAGGCCCTCGTGCGGGGAAAGGTAAGGTGTTGGGGGCTGGTTTGGGTCCCCTTTTCTACAAGCTCTGTGAAGGAATTAAGAGAAATGGAGCCATTAGCAAGGGCTGGTGCTAGTTCTCAAGGTAATTACATAATGATTGCTTTGTAGAGCAGTTGGTTTCTTTTTTTTAACCCTGGTTGCTCTGCAGACCAGAGCTGCCAAATACATACAGAGGCAGGGATGCTTTCCTCTCTGTTCTGTTCATGCAAGGAAACACCACCATTTTCCAGTGCACTGAGATATGGTGACTGCTTGTTGCTTTGTCTGGAGTTAAAGGTGGTAGAAAGCTCTTTTTAAAATAATCATTTAGAATGTCTTTCAGCTCCTAGCTTTCCAACATCTGCTGATTCTTGGGTTGCACTGAGAATTATGCATCTTCCCTTTTAGCAGTGAATGGCTTTTGGTTGCCGGTGGGAGACAGGCATTGAGGTGCAGTGGCAAAGTTTCCAGTACTCTCAGAAGTACTGGAGAGCAAGCTGGTTGTCACTGGGCTAATGGGCTGCAGTCTAGCTCCAGTTCTAAGTATTCCAATTTTAGCTGGGGGAGGGAGGAGGGGAGTGTTGGGAAGGGGGAGGGTTGAGACTCCAGCAGCTGGTAAGTGGCAGATGTTATCCTAAGAGCAAACAGTGCTGATGTTGGGCTGCAGCCTAAGTTGCCAGGCTTAAAAGTTGTACTTCAACTGGAGGCATGAGACAGGGCAAGCAGCCTAGGAACTGTTTGACACCCAGCCAGCCCATCAGAAGCCACTTCCTTTGCATCTACCAGAGCGCAACAGATGGTTTGCTAGCACAAATGCCTTTTTTGTCATCTATCTGATATCTTGATCTGAGTTTCTCTTACAGCTATACTTTGTGTTTGACTTCTTAGCTGCCCACACATGAAATGTAACCTTGAAATACATATCTGTTTATGACAGTGTTTGTTAGGGGAAAATGTATTTTAGAGCATGCACAGGAGTTTTTCATCTGTTCCCCACAGCTGCTACTGCAAGGCTCTTATTTTCTGTGCAGCTGTTCCTACAGCTCAGGTCTGTGTCTTTTCCCTTTCCTTGCTTTTCTCCTGTCCAGGTGACCTAGCCAGAGAAGGGATTCTGAGCTTTGTCTTCTTCACTCTTTTCTCACTCCTTTTCCTCTGCTGTGCCAGATTGGAGCTGGACAGTTTCATCCTTTGCATGTAAGTGTGATCTGCACTTCTGTTTCTACCCTGTTTCTAGGCTGAGGGGAACACAAAGCTCTGGTCTTGGGGCTTCAGCTGGGTGATGTCTTCCCTTAAAACGTTTGTTTCCCTGGCTGATGCAGTGCTGGCCCTGATCCAGTTTTAAAATGCAGGTTCTCCAAAGGTCTGAGCAGTGTTTTGTGGCTTGTTCTGATGTCCTCACTTGTATGATTTGTAGGTTCACAAAGACTCTGATGTCTATGTCTGTAGTGCTCATTAACACACTGCTGAGTGAAAGAGGACAGCAGAAAAGCAGACCTTTTTGTGAAAGTAGTTGTGGGAAGTAGAGTGAGACCTCTGCTTCCTTCCAGTGACCCTTTGAACTTCCAGTACAGGAGGAGGTACCAGAAGTTTTGGCTACAGACAAAAGCAAATACACCCACAGGCCCATCAAAACCTATCCTGGAGATCATTATCTGGCTTTCTGCCACATCTTCCTTGGAGCTGAAACCTTCCCACCAGGTGCTGTTTGAAAGCCAGAATCCAGGCACAGAACAGGCAGAGCAGGATCAATTTCTGAAGCACCTGAAAGCAATCTCCCCACAAAGTGCTTGCACGTGAGGTGAATGAGGGCTGTTAGTTGCAGGCAGAAGTGTGAAGAGCCTGCCCTAGGGGATGTAAAGCAGGAGCCATTTGTGCATCCAGTTGGCAATGGTGAGTTTACAGCTCTGGAGCCCAGCCAGCGACCAAGGTGCTTATTTGCAGTTGGGGCCTGGATTATGGTCCCTTCTTTTGTGTGCTGGTGCACTGCATTTCCATGGCACTCCCACAGCAGGTAGCAGCGACGTGAAGCAGAGCTGTGCCTGAGGGTTGTTCCAAAGGTTCAAAGCCCCACATACAAATGCATTGGCTGACTGTGTAGTCACCTTACAGCCAAAGCCATAACCATAGGGCAGTTCCCCACAGGCTGAGGGGAATTCAGCTCCTGGGCTGGTGTTACGTTGTCGTCTCTGTTCTGCAGCCTGCTGCCCAACTGTGCTGCTCCTCATAAACGACTTCTCACAGATGAACGACAAGCAGTGAAAATGGGAGGCACTTTGTGCAAACAGCATTGTGATAAATATAGCTGGTTAATTTTTAAAATATCAAAGGCAGTCCCTGTAGGACAAAGTGTTCTTTCTAGAACTGATAGATATGTATTTTGTCATTGTATTTGCTGATTGTTATGGTGTGAGAAGATTTATTATTGTTATTGAAAACAAATTTATCTGGAAAAGCAACCTTTAACCAGTCTAGAATGCACCTCTTGGAAGCCAAGATCTCTAACATCCTCTGATGTGATGAGCGTGAAGCGTGGTGCCTCACAGTGTACAGCTTTCAGAAGGCAGAGCTTCTCATTCCCAGCTGTCTTTTTCTACGTCTGTCTTGTGTTCTGCATGTGATGACAGGCTCTTCAAGCTTTAAGTTAATAAGGGTGGAGTGCAGAAGGCAGTTGTCACTGGGGCTGGTTAATCCCTTCCGTACAACCTTCTACTGCTGTAACTTTCTGTGAATTTACCAACTTCTCCCCTTTCCACTACCAAATCTCACTTGGATTGTTCAGGTATCCAAAGATGACCGCAGCGATGTAGAAAGCAGCTCTGAGGAGGAGGATGTGACGTCCAACAGCACAAAAGGAGTTTTCAGCACTTCGAGCAATGGCTCCAACCGCATTAACGGCCACGTGGCCGGCGGGCAGTGGACAGAGGAGGAATAAGGCCCTGGGTTGGCCTTGAGCAAACACGAACTTGTCTCTGCATATTTAGATGTGTTGAACTCTGCATTCCCAAGTGATTTTTAATCAAGATACCCCTTCCCCAGAAACCTCCAGCAAATCTGAAACGGGCACAATCCAGACCAGTCCAAGGCTTGGCATGACAGAAGGGAGAAAGCCAATTACTAGGGCAAAGAGCAAGCTGCAGATTTCACTTTAAGCCATTTTGTACTTCAATCTTAGCGCCATCGACGTTTGCAGAGGTATCTTTGTATTTGACAAACTGGTTTGTACTGGGATCAACTCAAGGTGGAATGAGTTTGGGCTCAACTGGCCACGGTTGGTGAATGCACTGCCAGCGACGACGGCTCATCCAACGCAGGGTCAGCATCGTCTCCTTGAGGCACTCTGTAAGCAGCTCAGAGCATGGGGAGTGCCTGGTTTTTGCTCCCCACATACAGGCTGCAGCAGACTCATCCCTTTGTGCTACAGCCAAGCTCTGCGTTGCATTGTGCTACAACAGAAAAGTTGCTCCAGCTTCTCTGGGGTGCTCTGTGTTAAGGAGGCTATAGCTTGTTAACTCTGCTCTCAAGAGGGACCAGGCCAGCATTTGCTGCCTCTTCTGGTGCTGAAAGCCCCTCTGAAGCCTCAGTGACAGCCATCTGAAACAGGGGAGGGGATTCATTATTGCCCCAAAGACAAGTATCACAATATGTACCTTTTAAATCTTCTTTTTTTTCTTTTGCAAGTTGTGGTTTTGAAGACATTTCTAGATCTACTGGATGCAGTTGGCTGAGCGAGGAACTTGAGGGCAGACCAATGCTGGGGGCTGTTCTTAGCTTTCCACATAATGAGGGGTTTCAGTCCTGCTCAACTGTGTTTTAGGACAGAAGTTAGAATGGTGCTGCTCTCATTCTGCAATTTTTGTGGAGGAAATCACTGGGCTGGAAAAGCAGCCACACTGTGGGTTATGCTTCTTTTTTTACTCGATGGTACTTGGGGGCAATGGAGGACCTGCATGTCAGTCACGAGCAGAATTTTGGGAACTTCTTGAGTTGTTACCGTTTTATACTGTTGTTTACTCTTATCTCGATTAAAAAACAAAACAAAAACAAACAAACAAAACCAACAAAGCACTTCAGAACTATGTTTCACTTTGTTAATTTTAAAAAAAATGAAATCAGTGACTTTGTCCTGGTGGTCAGCAGGATGATTGTGAACCAGCAGTGTGCCCTGGTGGCCTATGGGAGGATAGGGTGCACTGCACCATGCTGGACCAGCAGGGTAATGGAGATTCTCCCACTCCTCTGCACTGAGGAGGATGCAGCTCAAGCACTGGGCCCAGTGCTGGGTAGGCTGGGAACTGCTGGGAGAGCCCCGCGGGGGCTGCAGAGCTAGTGGGGACAGGCTGTGAGAGCCCCAGGGTTGTTCAGGTGGGGGAGAAGGCCAACAGGGGTTCAGACCAACTCTCGGCAATGTCTGAAGGGTGGGGGGCAGGAGCACGGGGCCAGGCTCTTTTCAGGACCAAGGGCCACCGGGCACCAACAGGAATCAGAAAATTCCACCTGAACAGAAGGAAAAACTTCCTTGAGGAAGCCCGGGCACACAATGCCTAGAGAGGTCGGGGGGCTCCTCTGGAGAGACCCAAACCCACCGGAATGCTTCCTCTGCAACCTGCCGGAGGGGTTTGGGCTCAGAGGGCCCTTCAACCCCTACGGCTGTGACCGTCAGTCCCTTCCCCGCGGTACTCAGCGAGTGCTGACCCGAGATCCCCGTTCTCCGTTCCCCCAGCACACAGCCGCACAACCACACTCGGGCGTTTCCACGTGGTTTTATTGCGCTCCGGGCCCTTCCGAGAGCGCAGCTCGGCACCGCGGCGGCACCGAGCGCTCCGCCCTCAGCTCTCGGGGCCGGCCGAGGCCTGCCGGGCGCGGCGGTTCTGCAGCAAGCGGTAGGCCCGGACGCCGCACAGGTACCCGCCGTACACCGTCAGCAGCATCATGGAACCGGAGAAGGCCTTGTAGCCGAAATCAGCCAGCTGCTTGCCGGACACCATGGCCGCTCCTGCAACACAGCGCGGCGCTCACACCCAGCAGCGCTCCGTCCACCCGCCCCGTCCCGCTCCTTACCGCCGCCCGTCGGCTCCACTTCCGCCGCCGCGCCTGCCTCAGGGCCGCGCTTCCGCCCGGCGCCCCGCCCCCCGCGTCACGTGAGAGGGTGACGTCAAGCCGCACCGCCTGCTGGGAGATGCAGTACGCCGAGGCGGGAGGCGGCATCACAGCGCCCCCTCGCGGGGCCGCTCCTTCACCTCCACCGAGCCGCAGGCGCTCAGCCCCGCGCGCTGCATCCCGGCCGCCGCTACCCGGGGCCTGCGCTGCCCTGCTTTGCGGCTCCCCGTGGCTCTCCTGACCTTCCTCAGCACCCTGAGGTGCCTCTGCTCACTAAAAGCGGAAAGCGGAAAGCGGCCCTGTGCGAGGCTGAGGACCAGCGGCCTGGAGGAGACGGCTTTCAGCTTAGGGAGTCCCCACTGAGGGGGGCACTGGGCCTCTCCCCATCCCTGAGGGCTCCCAACCTGAGGAGTTTCTCCAGAAGGACGATGAGAGTTGTCCATGTGCCCTGTCCCAAGCCCTGCTCTCTCTTCAGGCTGCAGAGCCCTGAGCCATGCAGGAGCTGCAGCACGCAGATGTGCTGAGACTGCAGAACATAACTCCAAATGGCAAAGGGAAGACTTTTTATAGCTTGTGAACTCCAACACTGGTGTGAGGCATGGGCTGCTGGAAAGCTGGGGACACGGAGCACCCCCAGGTGAGAGCTGGGGCCTTCAAGGCCTGCAGGAATGGCACAGTGGTGGAGAAATGACTGCTCGGAGCGATGCACCTCCACAGCAGATGGGTTAACAGCTGAATTCCAGTCCAGAACAAAGCTCTGCATCCTGCTGCAGGTGCTGGCAACAGCAAACTGAGGTGAGAAGCTGCAATGTTTCAAGGGAGGAGAGCTCAGTCACACTGTACGAGCCTCAAGTGGGATTCCTGAAGCCCATCAAGACAAAGGGGAGCAGATGTCGTGCCAGCCCTGCAAGGAGACACTGGGCTTCCTTTATCCTCCCTCCAACCTTGCTAAAAAAGTTCCTCATCAGAGAAAGCCAGAGCTGGCTACTTTGTGTGCTTTTCAGCTCAGTTGAATTTAAAGGTCGTAGGGTGCCACGAAGAATGCACGTCTAATAAAAGGCACAGAAACAACTGCAGAGCCAGCAGATTAAATTCCCCTAGCAAGAGGGTGAGTGGAGAGCTAGCGGGCCTGGAAAGGTCACTCAGTGTGAGATGCATTTCAAAGAAAGACAGTGACTAGGCAGGGGAGAAATGAATAAAACAGCACAGAATGTCCCAAGGAACTGAAACAGCAGAGAAGGGGAGGGCTGGGGTAGCACAGTGGAATCCTGACCTGGTTCCTGCAGGCCCCAGGTGGGATTGGGATTCTGTACCCTGCTCAGCAGTGCAATCTCAACACTCTGCAGCCCTCAGCTAAGACTTAGTGCTGGAACTGCTGCTGAAAAAAATCAAGTGGGATGCTGCGCTGTGTTCTCACCCAGTACTGTCCTGCCGTGTGTTATTACTCACTTCTGGAACAGCACACAAAGCTGCATCCCCAGGAAGGAACTGACACTGCCCTCATCTGCACCGTTAGCAAGAGCAGCAGGCACCAACCCAAAGACAACGATGCACCAGAACCACAGAGTGAACGGCCTCCCCTTCCCCCTCCAAATTTATTATAATTTATTATAATTTTACACAAGTTCATTGCCAGTCAGAGAACCTGCAGCACTCGGACCTGGCCTGAGGGCATTCAGCAAGACCTGCAGCAGCTCTAGCCTGCCCCGGATGGGAAATGCCAGCCACTGGACACAGTGCCCTGAACGACAGCTGCAGCAAGCCAGAGTCAGTGTCTGAGGGGCATCTAGCAGCCAGCTGGACAAGGGGCAAGTTTCAAAAGCACAGCACAAGGCATGAGACCTCTGTCCCCTGCTGTGCTGCGGAAGGGCTCTCTGTACCTGTTGTGGATCACATCCTTTGCTGCCCCTTGTCCTGCCCGTGGGCAGTCGCACAAGAGCAGGGAAAGCGTGGAACCTGCTTTCTCAGCTCTTGTAAATGCACACAGAGAAGCAGAGGCCAGCCTAAGGCAGATAGTGGAACAAGCCAGAGAGAAGGCAAAAAGCTGCTGTGGATCATTCCTCTAAGAGCAACAGCCCAACTGCTTTATCAGGTACCCTGCCAAGGGCTACGCAGCCTGCCAGCTGCTCAGAAAGACTTCGGGGCAGTTGGTCCCTGCATTGCCAAAGCCAGCCAGAGAACAAGTTGATACGAGGGAGGAGAGCTGGCCAGGGACAGCCAGCAGGCACAGAATTAGCACAGGCAGATCAGTGACAAAAGGAGTCAGAGGCCAGGGTCAGCTGTGAGAACAAAAAGTGAAATCATTGAACTCCAAGGGCTCTCTCTGGAGCTGCCCTCACACAGGCAAAATGCTGGCTGTGCTGTGCAGCAAAAGCAGCTGGTGGTGACTGAGGAAGCTGCACATGGCAGGGGGCAAAGAGCTATTTTATATGCTGGTTCTTAGAAGAGTGATGATCAGCTCCTTTGAAAGTCCTCGGGAGCTTCAGTCTCTTGTGGATCCTGGAAGGAACTGACACAGCCCCTCTGTGAGACAGTTAAGACAAAAGCAACAGCAGCAAGCAGGGAAGAGCTAGTGTCATGCCAAGAGGCCCCACGGGGCTAATAGCAAAGCTTGACCTGCCAGGCAGTGCCTCCTGCATAGCCTGGATCGATCACGACGACCTAACAGTCTCTCTGAGAACTGAATCCACCAAAGCAAAAGAAAGGGAAAGGAGGAAGATGCTCAGCCCCACTCAGGGCAGGATCTAGGCAGCAGCAGAAGCTAAATGAGCCCTTCAGAGAAAAAAGGAGATCAGCAGGTACCTCCGTGCAGATGCCAGGCTCAGACAGGGGAACCTCTGCCTTTGCAGTGATCTGCAAAGGCTCCCAGAAGTCTGGGCTCCTCACAAAGCTGTAGCAAGGTGGTGTAGGTGGGAGCTCATCCCTCCTCTCAACAGGATTCGTGGTTGTGCAGGCAGAGCCCGTTTACATGTGCTCAGGGTGGTTCTGGAGACACTTGATGACATCAGAAACAGGTTTGCCCTCATAGCAGATCTGATAGACAGCTGTGAAGAGGGGGAACCTACGGGCAGACCAATGCAATCTCTCAGAGCAGAGTCACAGCACCTGGTGCACTGGGCAGCAGCAGCTCATTGGGTGCAGGCAGTGCAGTGCTCACCACAGCAGTGCAGACAGTGAGGGAGATGGGGGGGAGTTCCACCCCCAACCCAACCTCAAAAAAGCAAACAAGGGAGATGAGATCACTCACTTATCCACCATGTTCTTCATTTTAAGGATGTGATGCAGCTCAGCAGACGTCTGGGGACCTTGCAGCTTCTGCCCATTCAACATCTCCTTCTCCAGCTGCTCAATAGACTGCAACAACCCAAAAGAGAGGGAGTTGGACACTGCCATGTCATCCAGTACCCCATGTTCACTCTCTGGAGCTGGGTTATAGCACTGGGCAAGTGAAGGCCGATACCCTGGTGCTATCTGGCCCTGCGTTGTTGCAGGTTTCAGGCTCCCCTCGCTGCTGCTCCCTGCTCTGCTCACCTTCCCAGTCTTGGCAAAAGCCTCGGCCACTTTTCGGTTGCGACCACCGTAGCAGGTGGTGATGAGATCAGCGATCCCACAGCTCTCCAGGAAGGTGGAAGGGGTGACAGGGCCCTTGCAGAAGATCTTGGCGAAGCTAATCATCTCCATCAGCCCCAGACGGATAACAGCAGCCTTTGTATTGTCTCCAAAGCCAAGACCATCGCAGAAACCAGCCCCTACAGCCACAACGTTCTGGAAAACAACAGCACAGAGCGATGTGTTCCCAGCAAAGCCCAGGGCACTGCTGTATCTACAGGTGCCAGTGGTGATGCCATCAACAGACTGCTGCCTGCCCCTGCCTGTCTGGTCACCACCACCCTCCAAGCAGCTGAGCAGGACATGCACAGAGCTCCCTCCAAAGCCAGGCCTTCTGCACAGCTGTCTCTGCAAGCTGGAGTGTGATATCCAGAGGAGATCACTCCGTGCTCCCTGCAGAGCTCAAGCCCTGCAAACCACAGTGAGCAGCTCACCCACCTTCAGAGCACCACAGATCTCTACAGTGTCAGCTTCCTGCACCACTGTGACCCGAAAGTTCGGTGTCTGCATCAGCTCCTTCAGGATCTGCCCATACTGTACATTCTTACAGCCTAACGAGAGAGAAGGGACAAGATAATGGAGCAGACTCTAAAGGAGAACTGCATTCCAACCCACCCATGAGGTCTTGCTGCATTCAGCACAGCGAGAGGAATCCGTTGCCCAAATGATGGACATGGCTAAACATTTGCAGGCCCACAGAGTGCCAAGCACACACTGCCTGGCAGATAACCAAGGTTCAAACTTGGAATTCCCAGAAGACAGGGATGATCCCTACCACAGAATTGGCACGTCCACTTTTAAAGGCATCTTCAGAGATGGCAAAATTTAGGTTTGGAGACTGCTGTTCTCCCTGCAGTGCCCTGCACCAGAGCGTCCCTGCATGTTCACAGTGACAGCATGCTCTGCTTACTCCTCTCCAGGCTCCTGCATGGCTTGTTTGCTTTGTTTTAAATACAGGCACTTTGAATCTTGTAACTTCTAACCCAGAGAACAGTTCTGTTGGTTTTGGCTGCTGTGTGTGATTCACAAACAGTGTGGAGGATGTCAGGAACTGCCACCAGGTGAACTTTGAAGCAGCCCTGGCTAGCAGCAACGCAAGCCCAGGTGAGTGTCCTTTGAAGTCCAATGAAATGAAAGTAAGTGAACTATTTCCTCAAAGGTCTCCCCTGTGGCCACCCCATTCATTTGAGCCAGGCTGACTGCCAGATGTTCAAAGTCAGCGCTGTCAGGAGCGTCCAGATGTTGGCTCCTTACCGATGGTTGTTTCGCAGAACTTCTCATCTGCCACTTCACTGGCAATGTTGGCCCCCATGAGGACACTCATCTCAATTCCCAGTTTCTCGTGGATGATGTCTGAGATCAACCTCAGCCCATCTGGTCCTTCATCCACCCCCTGGGAGACAACC